TGGTAAATATGAGGATTGACTTTTTTTTGTAAGACTTTTTTATTTTCCTTTGATAGGCTTGCTCATGACATATAACATTCAGCCGTTTTTCTTCAATAAGGTTTAGCTGGTCATATCAGCTTCGAACCCATTCAGCTTTTGTTAAGTTTAATTCCATCATCATGTGCTTTTGTCAACATGATTAGCTGTACCAATTTGCCATCTCGGATCTTTGCTATAACCGAAGAGTAATCATTTTGAATATAGAGCAACTGTCATGTCAATGCCCCTCTTCCTTTCCTTAGGGATTTCAATCCTCCTATTGATCACTATATTTTCACATTTCCCAGTTAATTACTTGAATGCTTTATTGTGAAGGGTCAAGAGAAGAGAAAGAAAGAGATTTATTGCAAAGGCTTGTGTTTTAGTGAGATTTTTTTTGAAATAATAGTTTTTGTAAGAATGGCTAGCCAAGGTTGGTCGGTGTTTAGGCTAGTTTAAACAAACGTTTTGTTTTAATGAGGTGGCATCTTCAACTGCCTATTTGTGACTGATTAACATTCCTAGTCCACCCTTTTGGGTTTTCAGCCTAGGATTTTGCCCTTTTATCTTTTTGTCTTGGCCTTTGACCTTAACGGGCTTCTTTTAATAATAATTTCTTTTCTCAAACCATTGTCGAAACACAATTTTCTTATTCCTGTCTCTAGCTAATCAATCATGTTAACTTTGGCTTCGTTTTGTCTATGTATATTGGAACAAAATGTTTGTCTAAACATGGTTATTTATGGGGTATAGATATGATTAGAGAGAAAAGAAGCAGATAGTAAAAATAGCATTCTTTTGTAATTCAAAGGGAAATGCGTGCCCTAAAGATGCTCAGGGATCGGGCAAACCCCGAGGAGTGATCTCTAATAGTCATTGGGTTTACATCCCTTAAAATCGGAAGAGGGACATCTAATGACTAATACTATCCTTGACGCTAATATCCCTCCCTTTCGGAAGATCGTCTTTAAGGTATGGAGGGGAGACTTCTCTTTTCTTTGTACGACTTGATCTTTTGGAGGGTCGTACTTTAAAGGATTATCCTTAAATCTGATGGCTCTCTTATTCCTTGAGCGTCCTTTCCAAGCCCTTGTCTGGGCTATATCCATATCTCTTCATTATATGGGCCACTTTTAAATTGCTAGGAAGTCTTTCCATATTTTCAAATGTCCTCTTCAGCAGCATCCATTGAAGGTATGGTAGACGACTCGCTGATTCGAATGTAGTCTTTAACTTGAACCATGATCAACTTGTCACCTACCACGAATTTGATTTTTCGGTGGAGCGTTGAAGAAACTGCCCTAGCACCGTGAATCCAAGGTCTACTTAATCTTCCCCTTTGGATTCTTTTTTCCTTTTCCTCTTCGGTTTCTTTATTTTTCCTTTGTTTTTAGGAGCATTATCTTGTAGCTCCTTGGGTGAATAAATTCTTTTGCTTCTCGTTGTGCCCCCAATGCCGGCTATATTGGAGATATCTTTATTAATGGACGATTCTTGTATGCATATCCATGGTACAACTTTATCCGATGTATAAGGGAAAGGACGAGGCATGAATAAGCGCAAAGGTGTTATTACCCCTTCCCTGACATTATCAATTTGGGTACCAATATTTATTTCTTTCTTATTATCTCTTTGTCCCAAATCAATGACCTAAGTTTTTTCCTGATGGGGTTCTATCAATTGAGCTTATTTTTCCAACAATCTTTGCATGTCCGGGGAAATGGTCCCCTCCTCACTGTCTGACTCAATCCATTCGTCTTCGGCTTTCGGATCTTCCAGAGAGTTTTCAATCACAGACATGACTGTTTATATGGTCCTTATATGCGTTTAGATTTTATTCAATTATTTTGGAATGAGAGAGAAAAGAATGAGAAGCATATGAATATTATGAAAAATGCCTCATTGTATTGATGAAAAGAGAAATATATACAGAGTCCCTTTAATCAAAAGATCTCGCGACCACGGGCAGAGACCGCGAGAGATGCATCGGAAGCTTTTTATTTATTTACACTTTTTATTTATTTATTTATTTTTTTAATCAAAAGATGCAATGGGGAGCCCTGGTTAGCTGGCCTTCTCTACCCAAGCTCACTATTCTGGTTGTGATAGAGGCTGATCATCCACTTTTGGAGTAGATGCATCAAAGGTAATCCACCCTGCATCTATAAGATTCTGGACCTTGTGCTTTAAGGCCACACAGTTTTCAATGGAGTGCCTTGGAGCGCCTGAATGGTAATCACAGTTTTCATTAGGCTTGTACCATTCTGGGTAGGGTGGATTCATTTTCTTTGGAGGGACATATGCTAGGAGATGGTCCTTTATCAATTCTTGTAGCAGACTTCCATAGGAGGTTGGAATGGGAGTGAATTTCTTTTTGCCAAAGGACTTCTTGTCTTGTCTTGTCATGCTGGCATTTACGCTCCCCTCTTTCTTCTTGCCAAAGGACTTCTTGAATAATATGTGGGATTTCTTAAACTTGGGAGGGAATCGAGTATTTTTGACATCAGTTACCTCCTTTACATCAAAGTTGTATCCCTGTAATGCCTTTAATTTCTCTTCTAGGGCAGAAATTTGTTGTTTGGAAACCTCATTGTAGAGGAATTGTTGGCGCATTAGTTCCATTAAATACGCCATCTGCTCTTTTATGAAGTTAAGCTCAGTGGTGAGCCTGTGGTTTTGTTTCTCTAACCACTCCTTTATTTGCGGCACCTGCTCCTTTATGGCATTAAGCTCAGCGGTGAGCATACGATCCTACTCCTCTAATTGCTCCATTTTCTTGGCTTTTTGAGCGCGAGTGAGAATAGGTAGAAGACCAGCCACTTTCTAAATGATTTAAAGATTTTTATTATTATAGCTTTTTATTTCAAATGATTAGTGTGAAATAGATATGCCTTAGACAATAGCTTTGGTATCTTCTCAAAAGCCTATGTTTTAAGGGTACCATACCCACCTTAATGTGCTAACTTCCTTTTTTCAAAGGTTGCCAACATACCTTAGCGCACTTATCTCTTCTAGGAAGGTGATAAATGCACTTGGGTCTCTTTCGCTATTGTCTAAGGATATCTAATAAATCCTAGAATGAATGTGTTTATGAGAGACTTTATTATGATGATGTTTATGCATACTTTTCTTAGTGCCTTTATTTTCTCTCTTGGTTTTATCACTTATTGGATGATGTGGTATGAATGACACGACTCTGTCGAAAATCTTTTTATTGTAAAAGATATTTTTATGACTTTAATTTGTTTTTATATTTTTTATGATCCTTTATATCTTCTGTCGGTCAACGTGTCTACTTAGCTTACAAAGAACCTGAAACCAGGCTAGCTTAACTGAAGACTGTCCGAGATAAAGTTGGTTTATTCTTATCACTTTTATGATTTTTAGGGTTTTTCACTATTTTTTCTGTTGTATGATTACCCTATGCTAATGCATCAATACAAGTGCAACAAACGAATGCGCACACAATTCATTCATCCACAAGCAGAGCCACGCTATTTACGAGGTGGGGTTTTCCTGCAGAAACGTGCTTGGTTTAGGTGGTTCTAAACTGTTCTCACCAAGGCCAAAGGTCCCCAAGGTGCCCTCATTATAGGGACCTCTCAATCTCTCAGTCCTCGGGTCATGCACGGAACTCCGTGTCGACATCCTTGGACCAAAAGAAGAGAGTTATCACCTTGAGTTGGTGGTTTCCCACAACAGTTGTAGCCCCGTGTGCCAACAAGCCGATCGTATCTGCCACCCACTCCCTATAGGTATTCACTCTTGCCCCCGGGTATAGAGGGACTGTTGTGTGCAAGGGTTTTTGTGTGCAATTTATATTTCAGACAATTTGCAGAAAATAATCATACAACAGTTATTAAAGCCATACAATAAAACATACGAAAGAGGGTAAAGGCGTAATTTCAAAACTTTACTTAGTTTGAATTTTATCCGTCACTAAATGGGATCAACTCTCTAGCTTCCCAGTGGAGTCGCCATCTGTCGTCGCCGTCCATTCCGACGTCTAGGGACATCTCGAACGTTTATGCTAGCGGTCGTGAAAAGATGGTTTAGACTCGCGTGTTTATTTTAAAATATGTTCATTACTTCCGAGGTGCTCAACAACTGAACTATCCTCTAATAAAAGCAAGGTTTTCGAAAAGGGGTTCTTATGGAGTCGCCACCAATGTTTTGATCGTAAACATTGGAAAAGGATAAAAAGGCGTTGATTTTAATAAAAACCAAACTTGGCCATTATAACCAGAGTTAGGTAAGGGAGTTAGTTACGCGTGGGGAAGGTGTTAGCACCCCACAACGCCCCTTTCGGGTTCCCTATGAGGAATTAATTCATTAAGTGAAGATTACGAGAAATTATGCGATTACCCTATTTTATTGCATAATATTCAAAAATGGCTATCTACATGATTTTATTTTATATTGCATACATAAAGCAATAAATAAAGCAATAAAAGAGAAGAGAATTGAAAAGAACCTCCGTAGCAAGCTTTCACTAGTGGAAAAATAACATTCTATGACGAGTTTTTATCACGGTCGTAATCCACCCGTCATAGTATGTAGCGCGGTGACAATTTTGTAATAAAATCATAAACTTTTTATGTCGGGTAATAGGTAACCAACATGGTAAGTGGAAAGTTCACTTTTTATGTCGGGTAAAACTTAACCGACATAGAAAGTTCACTTTGTATGTCAGTTAAGTTTTACCCGACATAGAAAGTGAACTTTCTATGTCGGTTAAAATTTACCCGACATAGAAAGTGTATTTGATGACGGGTGTTAGGACAACTGACATAGTATCTTCTGTTTTACACCTGTTTCGGCGTTCCATTTCATCACTTCACCCATAGCAGAGCTCTCCGTTCTCTCTGTCTCTTCTACGAACGTGATCACCTTTGTACGTTTCTCTCCACCCAGCTCTGCTCATTACGGTGCATTCTAGAAACATTAACATCAACAGAGTTGGCTCATCACGAGGTAACATGTCAAATATGCCTCTAACTATCCCAGGTTTTCCGCACCCTAATATTAATAACGAGCGCGAGGTCGAGGTCCTGCAGTTTGTTGAGGTTCCCGAGAGAAGTTGGAATGACGCCAACGAGGTTGCATTGGGTAAGCCAGAGAACCTCGAGGTTGGTAAGGTTCCCAAGCTCTGGAGGGATCTGACCCGGGAAGAAGGGGTTGTAAGAGAGGTTGAGCATTTTCAAAGACGATACATTGCCCAAGGAGGGGGGGATGGTGCCTTCTTGAAGATTGGAGACGAGGGAGAGGACTTGGAGGTTCTGGAAGGTTCCGAAGGAGTCCGGGATGGGGCCGGAGGAGTTGTTGCCGGTGAGGTCGAGGTAGCGGAGGTTGGGGAGGAGCGGGAGCGTGGCAGGAGGGAGACTAGTGAGGAGGTTCTGGGAGAGGTCGAGGTGGTGGAGATTGCGGCAGAGGGAGATGTCGAGAGGGAGCTTTTGGTTGATGGAGTTGTATAAGAGGTTTATGGAAAGGAGGTTGGGGAGACGACAGAGAACGTTGGCGAGGAATGGGCCTCCGATGTTGGTGTCCGACAGGTCCAATGCTGTTACAGTGGTGTTCGAAGCGTCGCCGGCACAGGTCACTCCATACCAGTTGCAAGGGGTGGCGTCCCTTGAGTTCCACGACGAGAGAGACGCGTCTGGGTCGTCGAGAGAGAGCTTGAATTTACTTTCTACGTCGGTTCTTAGAAATCGACGTAGAAAGTCTTACTTTCTACGTCGGTTCTTAGGAACCGACGTAGAAAGGGCTTACTTTCTATGACTCCTGTATCTATGTCGCCGCTTTAACCGACGTAGAAAGCCCATTTTAACCGATGTAAAAAGCCTTTTTTGCAGTAGTGTTTGTATTGCAAATCTTTAATCGTGAGGATGCGTTTTGGCAATCCCCCGCTCTACAAAGACTCTCCTCCCCGAATACAATATCGACTCTACTAAATTTTTAAAGAAGAATCGAATGCTGGAATACAATTCCTTAACCGATTGTTACCTTTTTAAGGCAATCGGAGAGTTCATTCGAAGTAGGGAGAGAAGACAAGTACTTGGAGTTGTCTGGTGTGTGAAAAAGTGGCAAATGAGCCTCCTATTTATAGTTTTCGCAGTCTGACAGCTTGGGACGGCCGTCTGGGGCTTGGAAATCAAGGATGAGCGTCTGGAGAAGTTGGGACGGCCGTCTGGGATTTGGGACGGCCCTCCCACTCAAATTCTGGCACTGAGACGGGCGTCTCAAACTTGGGACGGGTGTCCCACTTGAAACTGGTTGTTTGGGACGACCGTCTCGCCCTTGGGACGACTGTCTCAACTGTTTCTGCCAGATTTTGTGTTCTGGGACCCCCGGGAAGCTTTCCTTTCTCTATTCTGACGTTGATTGATGCCGATAGACGTCCATTGAAGCTTTATCTTCATATAGGAAGTCTCCTTAGCCTTTATTGAGATGTCGGGCGAGCTTTATCTTGTTATAGGAAATCTCTTTAGCCTTTATTAAGAGGTCGGGCGAAATTAGGGGTCTACAGTGACAATGCAAGATCTCCCCACACCCCTGAATTTCTAGCAACAACAACAGTAGGAACAGCATCATCAACAGCAGCAGTACACAGACGACTTTGCAGGCATCAACAACATCTACAACTTGCGCCAACAATTCGACCAAATGTCCCTAAGACAGGACCATATGTCCTTAAGGCAGGATGCCTTTGACACAAGGTTGGAGACATTCGGCCAGTTGCAAGAGGGAATAAGGCAAGACCTGGCGATGTTCCGACAAGAACACCTCGACGAAGTCCAAGACCAGGCAGAATTTCGAAGGCACATGTACCGGCAATTCCCTTCTTCTGAATCGTCTCCCGGCTCAAGTCCGCCGTCTTAGGGATAGTACTAAAAAAATGTTGTAACCAAAAAATTTATCATAAATAAAAATTTTATTTCATCCATTGTTGCTCTCCTTTTCGAAAAAGTCAGCGTAGCAAAAAGAAACTAAAAGTATAAATACTTACGCTTAGTCCCCCGAAAAAGCCAAAATCTGAAATCGTGAGAAAAAAGATATAAACCGCGAAAAAAAGGCAGGATAAAAAACAAAACAAGTCAACCACATTGACCAAGAACAAATTTTCAACAACCAAGAAAGAGTCGGACATAAATAAACAAAGCAGCTGACAAACTAGATGAGCGCCAACAGAATCCCCAACACGGACCGGACGACCACTCCAAGAAAAGACAAAAACAAAGACAAAAGAAAGTATCTTAAAACACGGTGCATGAGCGACTGAGCAGTAAGCCGCCACCACCACCAGTCCTACGCAGTGGACTGTACCAGCCTGGTAGGGGGTTCATACCTATCAACCAGCACACGAGGTGCGCCTGAACGGCGCATGAGCCACCTGAGCAGTAAGCCACCACAACCACCACCAGTCCTACACAGTGGACTGTACCAGCCTGATGGGGGGTTTATACTCATCCAGTCCGATGCACAGTGGACTGCAACTACTGGCCTGATCGGGGGTTTATACTCATCCAGTCCGACGCACAGTGGACTGCAACTACCAGCCTGATGGGGTGTTTATACCCATCAACCGAAGGATCGACTACCGTCAGAAGGAGTATCCTGAGGTTTTACCATGTGTCAACCGAAGGGATCGACTACCATCAGAAGGAGTATCCTAGAGGTGCACAACACACTTTTCCCCAGAACATCAATCGCTGCAAGACGGAACATCCGAAGGGTAACCGGGCAAGAGCGTCAACTCCTTTACCCTCCAGTCGATCTTCTTGGCAAGACAGGCCAACAGTCGACTAGTCAGGTAAAGGGGGGCAGCTGTAGACCCCAAATCTTGCCCGACCTCAAAATAAGAACATAAGACCTCCTATTCAAAGATGGACGAAGCCTAAGAAGCCACTAGGAGAGACTATTAGGCCCCATATTAGGATAGGAAGGATTTTCTGTATAAAAATAAGGATTTTTGCCTTTAGGAGTCGAGACCGCCATCTCGCTTTTCGGGACCGCTGTCTCGCCATTGATGCAAGTCGAGACGGCCATCTCGTTTGGCAAGACGGCCGTCTCGCCACTTGCCAATGGCGAGACCCCCCTCCCGTTTGGCGAGAAGGCCTTCTCGTCACTTGAAAAGTCGATACAGCTGTCTCGCCAAACGAGACGGCCGTCTCGACCTGACAGGCGCGAATCCCTATAAATAGTGAGCGCTCCCTTCCTCATGTCACACAGTTCTTCCACTTTCCCTTCTACAATTTCTTCAAATTCTCTTCCTAGAGTCCCTCCGAAGAATTTTTGGAGTTTCTGAGAGTCTTAGAGAACTTTTTATAGTGTTTCGAGAGAGTTTTCGGCATTGTAAGAGCGAAGGGCTGCCAAAACGCACCCTACTTTCAAGAAAATTAATCAAAAGCTTGCCTCGGAGGTTTCTTCATTCTCTTGCTCTCTTTTACTGTCTTTATTTTTATGATTAAATTGTGTAATAGACATTAGGGCCATGTAGTCATTATTTTAATTCCACAAATAAAAGGGTAAAAGTGTCTTTTCAAAAGTTTATTTATAAAATTGCTGGCCTATCATAGGGAACCCGAAAGGGGCATCGTAAGGGAACTAACACTTCCCTTACACGTAACTAACTCCCTTACCCAACTCTGGTTTTAACGACCAAAGTTGGTTTTTCGAAAAACCAATGCCTATTTTCTCTTTTTTGATGTTTCTGGTAAAAACATCGGTGGCGACTCCATAAGAACCCCTTCAAATTAGTTCTTAGGTTAGCCCGATTATCGGACAATCTAAGAACACCTTTTGAAAAAACCTCGCCCCTAGGTTCAGCCTGGTTATCGGACAACCTAAAGGCGTTGTAACCTCACCCATAAAAATGCGAAAAATGGAAAACTCGGAACCATCGCTTTGCTCGGACCGCCTCTTTTTGACGGCGGCGACAAGGCTCATTCTCATTCAAATACAATTCTTCAAGAGCCTCTCTTATGTACTCATCATCACCTGGAAATTCTTTATTTGACTCAAGAGGATTTCCCCCAAGGTCTACAATTCCATCAAAAGTAACATGTACAGATTCTTCAACATTTAAGGTTCTTCTATTAAACACTCTATAAGCTTTGCTAGTTAGTGAATAACCTAAGAAAATTCCCTCATCGGCTTTTGAGTCAAATTTTCCTAAGTTGTCCTTTCCATTATTTAACACAAAGCATTTACAACCAAATATTTTCAAATGAGCAATATTAGGCTTTCTACCATTTAATAATTCATAAGGAGTTGATTTTATATTTGGCCTAATAAGCATCTTATTTAAAACATAACATGCAGTAGTTACAACATCAGCCCAAAAATATTTAGGAACATTTGATTCATTTAACATTGTTCTAGAAAGTTCCTCTAGTAACCTATTTTTCCTTTCAACTACACCATTTTGTTGGGGAGTCCTAGGTGTAGAAAAATTATGCAATATTCCATTTTCCTCACAATAATTTTCAAACCTTTCATTTTGAAACTCACCACCATGGTCACTTCTTAAAAATTTAATTCTTAAGTCTTTCTCATTTTGAATTTGCTTTGCAAACTTCCTAAAGACCTTAAAAGCTTCACTTTTCAATGTTAAGAAAAATGTCCAAGTATATCCAGAAAAGTCATCAACAATCACAAGAGCATAATCATTTCCACCAAAACTTTTTATCCTAGAAGGACCAAATAAATCTAAATGTAATAATTTTAAAGGTTTTGATGTGGAAATGACATTCTTTGATTTAAATGATGATTTTACTTGTTTACCTTGTTGACATGCATCACATAATCTATCTTTTTCAAATTTTAACTTAGGCAAACCAACAACTAAGTTCTTTGATATTAATTTGTTTAAATGATGCATATTTATATGAGCCACTCTCTTATGCCATAACCATGGGTTCTCCTCCTTAGCAACTAAGCATGTTATACTAGTTTCATGTATACAATCCAAATCAATCAAATATATATTATTATGCCTAATGCCTTTCAATGCTACTTTTTCGGAATCTATCAAATGTATGGTACAAAACTTACTTTCAAAGATTACCTTAAATCCTTTGTAACATAGATGACTTATACTTAGGAGATTATGCTTTAGCCCATCAACAAGAAGCACATCCTTTATCTCCAAAGTGTTTGCACCACCTATATTTCCAATTCCAAGTATTTTTTCCTTTGTTGTTGTCCCCATAGGTTACATATCCTTGTTCTTTAGCTTTGAAACTTACAAATTTCGTTTTGTCATCGGTCATATGCTTTGAGCATCCACTATTAAGATACCACATAGACTTCTTTGATTTGGAAGTTTCCTACAAAACAAGAACATAGTAATCTTAGGTCCCCATAACTTTTGGGTCCTTGGGGTTAGAGACAAACAAATCATTTAACTAAAGGAACCCAAATATATTTTCCTTTAGGAACACCAAAATGTTTAATTTTACATCTATTTGAAGTA